GGAGTGATCTGGAGGTGAGGGGTGCGTGGGGGGCGGGCGGCCAGTGGGCTGGGCGGGGAGCCGGCAGGACGGCCGAGGCGGCGTGCTCCGCAAGCAAGCCCCAATCTTATCTCAACTCCACGAAGTTTGCTATTTTAAGGTTACTCTGCGATGCCTTGAGCAAATCAAAGCTGAGCTCCTGTCATCAGTATCTCCTGCAGTTGGAAACTATTTTCATGTGCCTCTGGCTCACTTTCCTGTCATATGCAATATTTATGCTCAAAGATATTGATATGAATCGGTGTCTGAAGTCTTTCCAGTGGCGTTTAGTGGCCTGGTTGGAAAAATGCCATGTTTATTTAGAATAAGACTAACATTTCTTTTTTAAGGGAGGAAAAAAAAAAGAGTAGTTTAAATTAACCAACAGCTTCATATTTTGATGGCTTGTTTCACTGTGCTCTGTGGAAGGTTTTTCCCTGTTTTATCAGCTTCAGAATTCAAACACACACACTCAAGAATGAATACCCTGTTGTTTGGCTTTAGGTGCTTTTAGAAGAGATTTCTGGAAGGAGACATTTCCCTGCTTCTTGTGGTATTGGAATAATGACGCTGTAGCTAATGTCCCATAGAGCAGGGTTCGCAGTCAATCCAGGTAGTCCAACAAATGGTTAAATCCCAATGTGCAGCAAAGACAACAGGATGAACCATGAGAATAGAGTTTATGCAGGACTGTGTGAACTGCTGCTGCCGCTGCCGCTGCTGCCGCTTGTGTAAAAATAGACGGCAATACATCAAATCCACAGCTTCTGCTGGCTACAATTCATAAAGGGAAAAAAAAAAAAAAGGCAAGCAGCTCCCTGGTAATCTCTGGAGGATAAAGGGAGGTTTGAGGATTTCTGCATGTTTGCATTCGGCAAAATGGAGCATTACCGGAAAGTTCAGGCAACTTGCAAAGCGAGGCAAACTTTCTTTGGACCCCATGGAGAGGAATCCCAAATACAGACCTGCTCAAAGGAGCTAACCCTCTGGCTTTGAGCTTGGAATAAGTGCTTAAAATGCTCCCCTCAGGGAACGGGGGAGGGAAAAACAGGTTGCAAGCAATGCCTTTTAAATAAGATGTTCATACTGTAGAGAGCTACCCATATAAAGTAAAAATGTTACCGTGTTCTCCAGTATATTTTTCTTATCTGGTGAAGCATCCATGTGGATTCTCAAGTCTTTTTGTCTTGTTTTAAGTATTTGCATCTTGCTATTTTATCCCCTGATTTCTGTTTGCGTATTGTAATTGCTCTTATCATGTTTTGATTTCTTGGTAAAGTGGAATAGATATGGATAATTCATATGTCCTGTAGCTATTCCGAGTCAAGGCTGTAAGTGGATGACTTTCTGGCTCCAAAGTCCTAATTGTTTCTGAGTAGCTGGAGTATCCTGTGGGTTGTTGTCTGGCTTGTAGCATGGGTCTCAGCTGCCGTAGCTTCATTTTTCCATCATGTATTATTCCTAATGCTGCTACGAGCTGATTGAGGAACCAGCTTATATGGAAATACTGAAGATTTATTTTAATCACTAGAGTTCCTGCAGTAATTTCAAGCTAGTAACAGAATAGATAATTTATGTCAATGACTTTTTCATCGTGTGAAGAAAGAAGGAAAAAAAAAATAGGGGGGTAGATCTTAATATTAATTGTGTGGTAGATGGATTAACTGTGGGTGGGATTTTACCAATGTGCTCCTGCATTGCACTTCCTATAGCAAGACAGTAGCATCTGTGTGCTGCTTTGGCTCAGGGGATCACCTTTACTGATCTAAAATATTACAGGCAGCATGTACTGGAGGCAGCTTTCATTTTTTGAATCATTAATGTTTGCTGTCAATGTAAAATGTGTTATATTCTCGCTCACATAATGACAGGACGGCGTGTTGCTTAATAAAGGCCTGCATCACTGTAGCTGATCAGCGTCCCCAGTGCTTCACAGCTTAATGAAGGTGATGTACAGTAAGGTTGCAAAGATTGATAGAGAGAATCCACATGACACACATTCTGTCAAGTCTGTCTTTCTTTACTGGGTTCATCCCCTTGGCTGCTTGAAAAACTTGTTAAAAATAAAATGCAGATTATTTTTTCATTAATATAATTAATATGGCACAAGTCCAGTCTTTTTTTTTTTTTTAATTTACCTTCAAAGGCACAAAAACGTCCAAAAGGTTAATGGAGAATTATACTTAATTATAATGATTCATTATCATCAGTGCAGTTAAGCTAATTTATTGTTTGCGCCTGAACTAAGAGAAAAAAAGTCTGTTGGAGTGAAATAACCCACAGTAATTAGCCTTTTGTGTTTAGTGACTGCTTTATCCTCCTAAATGTTACTATAAAATTAATGTTATAGTTATGGAATAACTATCATATCAAGTAACAGTGGGAAGACAGTAAAATATGTGCTAGCAATGCAGGTGCACCTGTTACAGATGTATAGGCAAACAGTAAATATCAGCGTGTCAGATGAGGACAGTTTTAGGACTTGGGCTGTTAAATCTGGCATCCTCCAAAGGCCAAATATAAATTAATAACAAGAACACTTGCTACTAATGTGTCTCAGATTAGAAGCATAATGTCATATTTGGAAACATTGATTTTATTATCATGTCAACATTGGCAAGAGCATATATACTTCATTTCAGCAATTAAATATTTTAGGTGACGCCGCTGCAGTCACTATGGGCAATGAAAGCTGTGAGGAGCAGGATTTTTTTTTTTTAATTTATACCTTTGTTTATGTTGCTTCAAAAGCCCACTGTAAGAACTTAAAAATGCAGATTACCAAGAGTAAACATGTTTAAGTAGGTGTTTCACAGAGTGAAGCTATTTTTACAAATGAAAGCAGTAACAGATCAGCAGGATACTTTAGAAGTCTATGGTATCAGTTATAAGCTACTGACCTCCACAACACAAACCTGAGAATGATGCTGAGAATCTACTTTTTCAGTCAAAACTAGATTATCCTTTAATGAGATCAGAGATTTCGGCCAAGCATCAAAAAAGGTCATCTCTATATTATAAGATCGCTGCTGGCAGGTTGTGTCTCGTACTAAAGAATAAGGTACTCTAGCTTATCTTTTTTTTTTTTCCCCTGTGACCAAAATTGTTTGCAGTCAAAATTACTTAAGTGGGGTTTGACTTCTTAAACTTCTGCAGCGCCTTAAATAATAGGAAAAAAGAGCAACTGCTATTTCAGAGCCTCATTTTGCAGCCTCTCAGCTCCCTTGCCCCTTGGCCTATTCCGTGATTATCTAGTAGTGTTCTGATAGACGTAGAAGTTGTCTGGTAAATTATAGCTCACACCAGCTGCACCAAGTCTTTGTGCCAAGAGACAAAATCTTCGCTCACGGCTGCGCTGCTGCATCCAGCCCGCGCACTGCAGGCGCACCAAGGCTCCCGGGGACAAAGCCCTCAATGAAGTGCACCTTCAGCAGCTCTCGCTGGCACCATTGTAACAGGCGGTCCTTGCAAGGGTGACATAACCGGCATCGAGCAATTCACATCCATGGCCACCGTGTTAGTGCCCTCCAGACATCTGTCTTCAGAAAGTGGCACTTTCTGGGTTGACTTCAGTCCAAATAGAAGTTGGGAAATCATTCAAACCACCTCATCATCTGACAGGAGTCGAGGACGGCTTGCTGTTGGCCATCCTTAACACAACGCCAGAAATACTCAGGGTGGAAGCTCTCAGTCTCAGTTGACTTTAAATGGTTTTTAACCATTCAGCACCTAGTGCTTTTGCAGCTTTGTGGTTTTGTGTTTTTTTTTTTTTTTTTTTTTTGCAGTGTACCCATATGAACGTAGATGTTCAGAGATGAGTTACAAGGGTATGTGGTACAGTGTAGGAGGAATTGCTTAATCGAGCAGCGTTGACGAATGGGACTCCGCTATTTGCCAAGCTGTTACTATGTGTTTTCCATAATTAGGAAATGGTTTTGGTGGCTACTCTTAACATTTCAATTGCCATGCTAAAGTGGATATGTGTTATTAATTTTTTTCTTGCTTAGTAGGTCAGTCAATACCCTATCTAGCTTCATACTAGCGTATAAAAGGACACTTATTCCAGGTTTATTTGTATTTATAGCTGCTCTCTTCCTGAGTCATGGAGGCAAAAACATTTTGCAATGCTGAAGAGGATACATGCAGATTAGACTTTGTTTATTATCTCAAAACAAAACGTTTCACAGAATTCTCTCCCCCTAGGTTAGGATTACTGAATCTGAGGCTGCCAGAGGAGGAAAGCCCATTTTGTTCTCTCACTGCAGCTGCTGTCTGGGGATGCTTAGGAATCTGGATGGGGCAATATTTGCGTTCACACCAAGCAGGTGAAAGGCTGCATGAACTAACAATGCCTGTCACCCAGAGGTGAACAGAGGGATACTTCAGAATGCACATCGGTTGCAAGGACTCAGACGTATAACTGGGTGGCTCTGGTCAGTGCATTGAGGAAAGAGCACAGCAGCATCACTGACCTATACTTTTTTTTTTATGCCCATATGGTAGCCACCATCATGACTGACCTCAAGGATGACGGTGAGGATCTGTAGAAGTGAAAGTGTGACTGTCTCCAGCTTGAGCTCGCCTCCAGGGCTGAAGGCTGTAACAGGCTGTGCCATTTTAACCTGAATGCATCAGGAAATGCGTGACAGACCTTGCCCAGAGGTATTCATCTGTAACTCCTACCTGCACTGGTTCGCTCTGAAGCAGGAGAATAAGGCCATAGTTTGGCCTCTGCTGTTGTATTTAATAAACCTTTGAACATGACTGTTATCAAAGAGTATAGGGAAGAGGAGAGTCATTGTTCCTGGGCAGAGATGTGATAGAGAACGCAGCTTAATGCCCTCCTGTTTCCCCCTCCTCTTCGCACATCTGTATAGAGCTAACAATGTTCTAATACTTAGCGGGCTTTTTTTTTTTTTCCAGAAAACAAAGTCAATTCTAGTGACCCTGTGCCATAGCTTAATTGAGGATTAATTCTTATCACATGATACGAAAGTTAATAGATTCCTGGTAATTAATGAAACTATTTCTGTGTTGCTGTTTCCTGTAGTGTGCTGCTCTGGTTGGCGAAGACCAGCCTCTTTGCCCAGATCTCCCAGAACTTGACCTCTCGGAGCTAGATGTGAATGACCTGGATGCGGACAGCTTTCTGGGGGGACTCAAGTGGTACAGCGATCAGTCGGAGATCATCTCCAATCAGTACAGCAATGAACCTGCCAATATATTCGAGGTAAGGCAAGGCAATGAAAATGCACATTGCAAAGTAAGGACTGGCTTTGTTTCTAACTGTTTGTAGCTTGGTGGACTCCCCATGAAGAGACAGCGGACATGGGCATGCATGCTACAGCCTCTGGCTGGCACCCATAACCCTCATCACCAAAACCAGGCCTGCAATATGGAGAGAGAGGGGGGAGAGAGAGGGGGAGAAGCCTTGAAAGGAATTAAATGGAACTTTTGATCTTTGAAAGAAAATGGCTAAAGAGTGCCTAGAATGCACTGCTCTGTGTCCTCATGGAGTGGAGTTGCACAGTTGTCAGCTACAGAGGAAAAACAAAAGTCGAAACGTGTTTGTTGTCTTCCATGTGCATACCCTGGCGAGAAGAGGAATGAAGCACTGGAGCATTTCTAGTAAAGGCTTTCACCACTCAGAGCATTACTGTGCAAGGCACTTGCACACAAATTGAGAGGTCCTCATGGTTGATGTATAGGAAAAAAAAAAAGGGTGGATGTGGCAGAGAAGGCAGTGAGGCCTGTCTGTAGCTCAGGAACAAGCACACCATTGAGATGTTTTGTAGATGTTCTGGTGGAGAGCAGTCTTAAAGTAAATGTTGAAGGGTGGTAGGAGAGATTTAAATGTTTACGATTCTGCCTTGAGGATTCAGGGTGTATGGGAGGAGGTTTACTATGTCTGTATTTTTGTCTCCAGTCTTCTTTCTTCTGTTGGGTGAAGCATGCATGAATCTCTGCCTCGTGGGTACAGGGCAGAGGCAGACGTGCCCTCCTGAACCCTAACCTCCCTTGCTACATGATGACATGAGATGCCATAGATCGTCCACTGGCTGGGAAATTGGACAATAAATTGATTAGCTGGCAGGAAGACCTTATGCAACAGCAGGCCGCGGGTGCTGCCTCTCCCACGGCAGGAACTGCAGCTCCAGGAAGTACAGCTGGCCCGCTGGCTCGGGGAAGCCCCAAGTTATCATCGTTGAGTTTAAAGGCTAGAAAAAATTAACTGAAGCAGTGTAGTAAAATGCTTACCTAAGATACCCTGAATGAAATTCTTCATTTTGTATACAACTCTAAACCCACAGTGATCTCCCTGATGCACATAGAGTTGCTCTGGATTTATACCAGGGTAATAGATAGCACAAACTGGTTCTCTCTGTTCCCTTTCTATCATTTACACCCAAGTAACTTGGAAATAATTATATTTAAATCAAAATTAAATTAACCCTACAAAGCCCTGTGATTAGGCTCTCTTTTTCTTATTAGTTGTATAATGTTCCACTCGTTGTTCTACGAAGTTTCCAAACCTGTCTTGTTCTGGAATTGCAGTTGTACTGCCTGGGGCAGGGTACTGCGTGTTAGTGTGTAGGTTTGGATGGTCAGCAGCAGGGAGGCAGGAGGACAGGGGACACATTTGCAGCTAGCATGGTAGAGAGTGGCTTTGCCTTCTTATAACTGAGGAAACATATTATTCCTCAATCATCAAAAGCCAAATGCAGAGCCATTTTCCATTTGGAAAAATCAACTGAAGATGCAGACTTCCGGAGTAAGTTCCAGATAAATAATACAGTTAAGCATCTACTAACTCTAAGCACACAGATTATTCCAGTAAAACCAGTGGAACTTAGGAAAGGCTCGTGGCTTGCCTTGTGTGTAACTGCCTGGCCTCACTGGTGGCCACAGCTGCCGAGTACAAAATTGCCTCACATAGGTAGTGAGGATTCCCCTGCACGCCTTGTATAGGAATTGTCAGTTCCTATAAGAGACAATTCCCATTCTGAAAATCAAAGCATGCTGCAAACAGCAAGACGACCGGATAGGCTTGTGCTTAACCTCATTGGGAGATGGTGAGATGAGGTAGTGGTCATTACGTGTAACCTCTCATCGGCACATTTGAGGATGAGCAGCCCCAGTGTGAAGAAACAGGTGGTGTGCAGCTGGGGGAGTGCACCTAGGCAGCAACTACCAGCTCAGGAATAATAGTTCGGAACGGAAATACGCAGATTCTTTCCTAACGGGCAAACTCTCTTGTCCTCTTGGCAGATGGCTGCGTTTCCTCACACTCATCCCTTTCAGCTACAGGCTGCATCGCTGTCTCTGACAGCACGGCCTGGCCCGTACTTACCTGTAGGGTCAAATCGTGCTCCAATAGCATTTTGAAATACTGCAGTGCAAAATTAAACCATTTTCAGCTTCATAGTTAGTTTTGTTTCTACTTCTTGGTTGTTTGGCCTAGGAAGATGGGAATGAAACAGTTATTTTCTTCTCCCATACATTAACCCTGTCTCCATTCTCCATCGTGCAGCTGGATACCTTGCACTATTTCTTGCCTCTGCCTCTCTGTAATGTGACGACCGGGGGTGCTCAAGAACAGAAAAAGATGTCTTCTTCCTCCAGAGATTATCTCACATACTCTGTGAGGAACTATTTGTTTTAGCTGAGAGAATGGAAGTTCTGTGCAGTTTCCCATCTGGTAATCTCTAGATTTTTCCATATTGATCTGCACTGGCTTTTCGTTTTAAAGGAAATAACTTTTTTTTTTCTTCTATTTTTCTCTCCTGTCATTGTGGGAGTAGTATGTTTTATCTAACTTAAACTTCTAGATGAGGCCTTGTCATACAAAAATAGAAATGCAGTCAGTTTTGGGTGGAAGGGA